GGAGAAAAAAAAATTAAAAGTTAAGCGATGCCTAGTTGTATAAAAAAAAGAAATAAAGAAAAAAAGAAAGAAAGAAAGAAAAAAAACTGTTAATACTGCCTTTTCATATCGTTCCTTTTCGATGGATATATTCTTGACATCGGCTTACTAGATATACAATTATGTGATGCTGCATTTGTCCAGACCAAGGAATTTTTTTTTTTTTTTTTTTAATTGATAACCGGATATAAGCTTATTAGCATATCTTTTTTTTTTTTATTATTATTATTATTTTTTAAAAAAAAAAATATAATAAAAAAATTTTGTTAATTATCAAGCTTTAGTCTCTGATCAAAGTTATGTAAACGTAGCCAAATAAATTCAACGGGAACTTTGATTGATGGTTAACTTTGGAAGGGAGGGAATGGATTTTTTTTATGTTTTTTTCTTTTTTTTTTTTTTTTTTATGTTTTGCCTTGTAACTCTTAAAAAAATAAAAAATATAAAGAAGCTTTTCATGCGCACCCATACAAACATATACAACACGCAGTGGACGCAATTTTTTATTTTTTTTTAAAAAATGAAAAAAAAAGAAAAAAAAAAAAAAGTAAGGATAAGTAAATGATTTATGTAAATGCAGACCCAATCTATTATTTTATATAAATTCTAAGGAGAAGGGGGGAGGGGGGGGAAAGAAAAGTTAAAGGGGGATGATGAGGTTTAAAGTAAATTTTTTATTTTGGTGTAATTTTAATATATATAATATTTAATCAAATTATGGGTGCTAAGTGATGATGATATACTTTGTATACTTTTTTTTTAAAGATAGATACAGTAGATTGATTGATTGATTGATTGATTGATAGATAAATATACAATAGTTATTTTAACGTAAGTATTATAATTTATGTAGTTACGTAACTACAAAAAAAAAAAAAAAAAAAAGAAAATTTGTTATATTGATCTGGCAAATATATATTTATTATCATAACCAATAGAATCTAATATTCAGCGGTTAATGTAGATGGATATGAAAAAATATGAAACAAAAAAAAAAAAAAATGAAAGGGAGACATTTTAAAAATTTTAAAAATTTTAAATTTTAAAAATTTTAAATTTTTTTTTTTTTTTTTTTTTTTTTTCAAAAAGAAAGAGAGAAAGTTGTTGTTGTTGTGATGGTGGTGGTGGAGGTAGTTTTAAAATAAAAAAATGGGATGATTTTTTTTTTTATTTTATTTTTTATTCCTACTATTTAATTCTACAGATCTGGAAATCGTATTCATTTTTAAAATAAAAAAAAAAAAATACTATGTTTTTTTTTTTTTTTTTTTTTTTTTTTTAAAATCAATTGCTCGGAGCCTAGTTTTGTTGTTGTTGTGTGTTAGTGCGATGGCCGTAGTGAGATACCACCAAGGAATATCATAGTCAAACTACCAGTACTTGAACGCGTATAATAATAATAATAATAATAATAATAATAATAATAATAACTATTGTGGTTAACGGTGGGAATTGTTTTTGGTCTGGTGCGTTGGATTAATACAAAGGGGAATTTTTTTTTTTTAAAAATTTATTTTTATTATTTTTTTTTTCAAAGTTTCTATATACAAGATTAAATTAGATAAAAAAAAAATTTAAATTTGATTTTGGGAAAGTTAGTTAAAGAAGAAGAAGAAGAATAATAATAGTTATAATAAAAAAAATGATTAAAATAAATATGTTGTTGTTGTTGTTATTTAAAAATTAAAATAAAACAAAAAACTAAATTTTTTTTTTTTTCTAGTTAAGATTAATGTTTAGTTAAATTGTTTTTGTTAAACTATCGTCATCGTCACACAAACAACCACCCAAGATCTTATCATTATTATTATTATTATTATTATTATTATTATTATTATTATTATTATTATTATTATTATGAAATATATATATATATTTTTTTAAATTCTTTTTTATATTATTTTATGGTGCTTTTTCCCAGATTTTGGATTGCTGTACACTCACAAAAGAATAAAAAAAAAAAAAAAAATAAGACCATTTTTTTTTTTTTTTTTTTTTTTTATGGCTGAATCTCTCAACTTTCTTGCCACATACACACATACACATATATATACACACATACATTCATACATACGGACAGATAATCATTTTTTTTTATTTTATTTTATACACAACTTTTATGGATTTTTATTCATCATCATCATCATCATCATCATCATCATCAAACTACTCCTGTTTTTCTTTCTTAACTATCATCAATCAATCATCCCCACCACCCCTTATATATATATATACATTCCACAATCTGATATATAAAATCAGGTTTTAAAGATAACATATATATATTTTTAAAAATAAATAAATAAAATATTTAAAATATTTAAAATATTTAAAATATTTAAAATATTCTTCTTTTTTTTTCACTCTGAAAATGTGTTAATCTATCTATATTATTATAATAAATAAAAATGTATTTGAATATTTAGGTCCATAGAAATATCACCGTTACATATAAGATCATTACTAGCCGCGCTCATTATCATTTATTCACTTTTTCAAGTAATAGCCGCACAAATCTCTACTATTTTTTTTTTTTTTTTTCTTTTATTGTAAAAATCAAGCTCAAAAAAAAAAAAAAAAAATAAAGTGATTATTTATTTATCTATTTATTTTTTTTTTTTTGCTTTGAAAATCTTTTAAATAAATTGAAATATAAAAATTTAAATTATATTAAGATTGATTGGTAAAAAAAAAGTCTTTTGTAAGGAAATATTTTTTTGTATGAAGGAAGGGGATTAAAAGGAAAAACCTAATATTTTTCAGTTTAATTAATAATCATTAATAAGAAATTACTAACTTATTTAACATTGTTTGGGTTAGAAGAAAAAAAAAAAAAAAAAAAAAAAAAAAAGGGAAAAAACCATTGTGAACAACATTCCACCAACCACCAATGTTTTATTTATATTTATATACATATATTTTTTTATATTTATATTTATATTTATATTTATATTTATATTTATATTTATATTTATATTTATATATTTATATTTATATATTTATATTTATATATTTATTCACTCAATTTAGCCTACCACCAAAGAACAATGGCGATGAGCCCAAAAATATTTACCAAAAAAAAATCACCAAAAATTTTCCCTCCCTTCTTCTCCAATTCTAATCATAGAACCTGCTGTTGTTATGTATACCAACCACCAAACATCTCTCTCTCTCTTTTTTTTTTTTTTTTTTTTTTTTTTTTTTTTTTATTTAAAATGATTTCAACAAACAAAAAGATTTCTGTTTAATGGTTTATTTTAAAAAAAAAAAAAAAATCAAAAAAACAATTTTTTTTTTAGCAACTTTTGAAGAATCACGGCGATCGCTTATCTTGTAAATTCCCAGTGATGGAGGGAGGAAGAGGGGGGGGAGTTTTTTTTTTTTTTTGGTACTAAATCGGTTGTATCAATAACTTAACTTTGAAATTCAAAAAAAAAAAATATATATATATATATGGTCATTTTTTATTTTCATCTTCCCTTTCTTATTTTTTTTTTTTTTTTTTTTTTTTTTTTTCAATGCAAGTATCCAAGTATGCAAGTATCCATGTTTGAAAAACATTAGAAAAAGAGAAAGAGAGAAAGAGAGAAAGAGAGAAAGAGAGAAAGAGAGAAAGAGAGAGACAAGACCTCCTTCAAATATCGATTTCCTCTTCTTCTTACTCCTATATATAAATATACAAATACCATAATGCCGGTGCACCTGGTCACTTCATCTTTTTCTTTTGTTTTTTTTTTCAATTAGTTTGACTTCCAAGTGCTCATTTGAGTCTATGACATGACTGACATGTACCGGTGGAGAGACGACAATATAAGTAGACTTTTTTTTTTTTTTTTTTTTTTTTTTTTATCTTGAATTATAAGGATATATAAATGAGTGTGCAATGAATAACACGGCGCTTTATATATATGATCATTATCCATCATATACTTGTGTATATATCAGATATGAGATATATATTGTTATATAATGATTTTAGTTGAATAATAGGTTTAAAGAAATGTGAATATAGATATGATTAAGTTAACTATATATCTTGTATTTTATATATGTTATTTACTTAAATAATTTAAGTAAAAAGAGAATCAAAAGAAAATACAAAAAAAAGTCCACGAGGCTGGCGATGAGCTCTTTTTTTTTTTTTTTTTTTATTTATTTTAAAAATTTTAAAAATTTCAAAAATTTCAACAATTTCAAAAAATTTCAAAAATTTCATAATATAAAACCATCTTATATATAATTTATATATATATATATATTTAATATCCCATATATAAGTATAACTCGTTAAGGTTTGTTATATGGATGCGCGCACCACCACAAACTTTTAAAAAAAAAAAAAATCAAAATTTCTTTAATAATCAACTTTTATTAATGTCTTGCTTGCTTAATTTTTTTTTTTTTCTATCTTTCTATCTTTCTATCTTCTTTGCTGGCTTTTTTTTTTTTTTTTTTTTTTCAAAATTGGCTGACCCTCGAAAAAAAAAAAAAAAAAAAAAAAAAAGGCCCTTATTTTTTATTTTTATTTTTATTATTTAAAATATATAATATATATATATAATATTTCAAATATATTATTTCAAAAAAAAAAAAAAAAAAAAAAGTCAATTGGGCGTCCATATAAATAAAATAAATAAAATAAATAAAATAAATAAAATAAAACTATAAATATAAACATTTGTATATAAATATTCTATCCAGTTTCATTAATATATAAAAAAAGCAACTATTCCCATCTATTTTCATATTTTTTTTTTTTTTTTTAAAATATATATATATATATATATATAATACTATATTTAAAATACTTTAAAAAATTTAATAATATCCTATTTCTTCTTCTTCTTTTCATCCTTTGATTTCATTTCATTTGACTTCAATTCAAATCTACTTCCATCATAATATCAATACCCAGATATCTATCTATCTATTTGTCTATTTATCTCTCTCCTTATTTCACAATGCAACCCCAACTCTCAAACCTCCTCAATAACTCACATCCTCCAGCATCTCCAACCACGTCGCCACAAAAGCCCGTGGCTCTTCCAAGCATCAAATCTCTTCAACTCAACAAGGCCAGTAGTACTCATCTTTCAATGGCCCCAATCCCTTCTTCTAATTATACTTGGTCTTCATCTTATTCCTCTTCCTCTTCCTCTTCAAGACCTTCCTTCTCTTCAGATGGCTTACCATCACCAAATACTTCCCCCGCAAAACCCCCATCTTTCCCACAAGTAATTGTGTCTTCCCATAACATTCAGCCTTGTTCTTCTGGCCCCACTTCCCGATCATCTTCTTCCACAGCCCTCTCGGGTCTCTCTCTGCTGTCAGAAAGTGCGCTACAGGAAAAGCACCCACTTCAAGGACCTGCCAGCCATCCTTCTTCTATTCCTGTCCAGCAACCACAATCACAACATCAACAACATCATCAACAACAACAACAACAACATCAACAACAACTTCAACATTCCCCTTCCACTTTTCTTCACCATGGCCATGGTGCTTCTTATCCATCTCACAGCTTTCACGCACCACCACCACAACAACAACAACCACCACAACCTCATAACTTCTACACAGACAAGGATTACCTTGCTAGCGTCTCATCAGTCCATGATATGGCCACAGAAGTCCAAGCCCTCTGTGCAGCCATTCTCGGAACTGCCACAGATGCTCAATCACACCCTCCTTCATCTACTCCAGTCTATCCTGTAGCCCCTCACACTCTCGATAAAATGATGTCGCTGGCATCTACCCAGCTCTCTGTCTTTTCCACCTGGAAATCCAAGTTCGAGGCTGCCCACTCAGCATTCCATGATGCTCGTCCAGCCATCTCTATCAATACTTCTGCTGCTACTGCCTCTGCTGCTACTGCTGCCCCTGTTTCTACTGCTGCCTCTGCTCAGCAACAACAAAGACAAACTATGCATCCCATCTACCCTTCTTCCTCAAATAACCATCACAAGGCCCCGCCTACCCCACCATCTCCAAGTCTTCCTGTGGATCCAACCTCCGAGCCAATCACCCCAGTCTCGGCCTCCTCCATTGGCCCTATTTCTTCTTCCAACAACTTCCACATGGGCCCTGCTTCTGCTGCTTCTGCTGCTGCTGCCCCCGGCTCTATCACTCACTCTCCCTCCCATTCTACTACAATCGTTTCAGCTGTCTCTTCCACCTCCCATCAACAACCAATCTTTCATTCTAAACCTGACTCCTCAATCCCAAGACACCCCATTTCTGTTCCCCAACATCATTCTGCCCACCATCTTCATCAATCAATGGGTGTTGTCAGTGTTTCTGTCGCAAATTCTGCAGCTAATCTTCCTACCCAGCGTCGTGGCAAACGTAAAGCCATTGCAGGCTCTGACCCCATTTGTTTGGTATGCAAGGCTGTTGAGACTCCTGAATGGCGCCGTGGTCCTGAAGGCGCTCGTACTCTTTGTAACGCATGTGGTCTGCACTATTCTAAAGCCATGAAAAAGTCCAAGAAAGAGGTCAATGAATGGCTTGAATCGTACCGCAATGCTCTTTCACGTAACAATGCTGCTGCTGCCACTGCCACTACTGCTGCCAATGCTACTGCTTCTACCACCCCAACTTCTACTTCTTCTTCAGCAGCTTCTTCTCAAAATTCTGTTGTGGCTGCAGCTGCTCCAACTACTCCAGAAGCTGCTTCAGATTACACAGATAGACATTTTGATGCATCCCCTGAAGCTATTTTGAGCTCCAAAGCTCGCGATCTACTTGGCAACCGCCGTCGTCGCCGTTCGCGCTCTTCTTCCTCTTCTTCTTCATCTTCGTCTTCTACACCTGCTACTTCTTCTTCTCCTCAGACTCCAAGTATGGTTGTTCTTAGCATGCCTGCATCGTCTTTGACAATGCCTAAAGCTTTTGCCGATCAGCAACACCAGCAACACCAGCATCAGCATCAGCATCAGCATCAGCACCAGCATCAGCATCAGCATCAGCACCAGCATCAGCACCAGCATCAGCATCAGCACCAGCATCAGCAATCCCAAGCCCATAAACTTTCAACTGTTTGTGAAGGGCCCTCTAAGAATAGTGGGTTTGTATCATTTGGCCAACTGCCCAATCGTGGAATCATGCGCCAGGAAAACTAAAGAAGAATCTTCAATACTAAAAAAAAAAAAAAAAAAAAAAAAAGAAACGATCCTCCTTTTCCTTTTCCACCACCACCACACACTATCTCCCTAATGAATTAAATAACTCGTCTACCCTTGCCTGAAAATGGGCTCATTTTTTTTTTTTTTTTTTGTGAATATAGACGACTATAACGATGATGACGATATGAACCCGTTTTTTTTAATGCCCCCCCCTCCTACTCCTTTCTACTATTACAATTTTTTCTTTTTTACTTTGTTTCTTTGCACCAAGAGAACTCATCTTGTGCAATTTTTATTTTTTATTTTTTATTTTTTATTTTGCATATATATATATATA